GCGTCACTGACCCGTAGCCTGAAATTAGGACTCTGGGGGCTGGATTAGGTGCAAGGACATGCCAGGGAACCGGAAGAACAGCCGGCCACGATGGCGAGCTCGCTACCGAAGGCCATTTTGAAAAGTTGTTCAGGTTCAAGATTGGCTGAGGTAGATGACATCCTGCTGCCTAGATGGGCCTCCATTGCGTTTACCGATCGGAAATGTCCCTGGGAAATATTTGATGAAATCCAGGAGCTGTGAAAGGAATTCTATAGGAAAGAGAAATGGCACACGGTGGAATCTCAGCGGGCAACAAGGAACGGTTGGCGTGGAAGCCCGGAGCCAAGCGGGTCCATGAACAGAAACGAACGGAGGACAGGAACGATCAACGTGGGCCTTGTCCAGGATTGCGGCGCGGTCCCCCTCAGACGGATGCTTTTCCTGCGGCTCCCCAGCTTTCCTTGAACTCCGCGAATGGAAAATTCTGGGCAGAGGATGTGCTTGGCTTCTGGAAGGCAGCCCCTCCCCAAGTACTTGTGGCCTTCCCAGAACAAAGGAGAAAAGGCAGATCTAAATATTGGCGGCTTGGCCGGGGTGGGCAGGGGGGAGACAAGAGGCCCACGGAGCAGCAGACACGGGCAGCCCGCAGAGGAAGAGATGGGGTTTCAAAGGCAGCAGCGCTTTCGCCGCTGAGGTCCACCCTCTGCGCCAGCAGCCAAGCCATGACTCCGAGGGCCTCTGCGCACCTTCGCTTTGGCTGGGCATCCCGGCCATTCCGACCACAGTGTCTCCAGGGCGGCCAAACCCAACTCTCGAAGAGGAAAGCGAAGACGTTACGCTCTCCAGCCTCGGGTCCCTGGGAGAAAGCAAAGCCTGGCAAGAAGCTGAGCCGTCACAAGGCAGGTGGGGAGGGCCGGCCTGAGAGGGGAGCTGATCTTAGGGCGTCTTCACTCGGCCCCAAGCCTTGCTGAGAAGAGCATCGCATTGCAATTCCCCTGAAGCAATGTTTCCCAACCGTGGCAACTTTAAGAGGTGTGGACTTCAACTCCCAGAATTCCCCAGCCAGCCATACTGGCTGGGGAATTCTGGGAGCTGAAGTCCACACCTCTTCAAGTGGCCAAGGCTGAGA